CGATACTTTTGTCGAATCACCGTGGAAGGTACACGGACGATCGAAAGTTGAGAGAAGAAACGGACGGTGAAAGAGTAATCCGCGGGGGAAACTGTCAGGGAGGGGAAAAAAAAGAAATACCGTTAGAAATACCGGGAGGAATTGATCGCTGAAGATGGATCGAACATCCCCGATAGACGAAATGACATCGCAGACGTTCACAGATAATCAATCAACCGATCCTCTCGGAGAGACAGCTTCACTCGCAGAATAACATAACGATCTACGGATCTATTCTTACGGCCACGATATAAGGCTTTTGAGGGGGGAAAAAATGGATCGACGTTCACGAACCGACAGATAATTCAGATTATCACACAACTTAAAGTTGCTCAATGTGACATACGGATTAATTTTCTCTCTCGTCATTGCAACTCGTAATTGCAATCGTAGGCTTGATTATTTCTGTTCCAAACAAACGCTCCTAACGTGGAAAAACGAGAAGGCTTTTAATGCATCGACGTGTATACATGATCATTTAGGTTTTAAAGGCAGGACGATCAAATCGAACATAACAACCACCGGTTAAACTTTATTACGTCGAACTGCGCGCATAGTCAAGGCCGCGACGATGATAACAGCCGATCTTAATTATATGGAAATCGAGCACAGTCTTATTGCCCAGTTGACGTATAATGATTTCCTTCGGGGCAGCCGCGATTATTATTTAAGTAGAACAGAATGAACGAGGTTTAAATAAAACATACGTATATATGTATATAATAATATTTGAATAAAATATTTATCAAAATATACAATATTAATTCTGCTGTAAGAAAATGTTTGTCGCAGAAATCGCTGTAACGCATCATGATTTTAATAGCGTCGTAATTTTATTACAATTCCTTTATATTTGTGTAAAAATAAGTAAGAATTATCATTTTAAATGATAGCGCGATCTTTGATGTCCATGTATTGAGGTCTTGTTCGATTGCACTTTTCTACTTTGAAAAATCTATGATTTATATACGGTAGCACGTTAAAAATTAAGAAGGCAGATAGTCCGAAGGCCAATGATCAAAGTAAATGCGCGGTGCCTTTTGAAAAAATAACGTTAATCTCCACGTGCGATGACAATCCGCTGATGTATAAAGAAAATTTGTCAAGCACGCTCGAATGAATCAGAAACGAAAAGTTTCAAAGTAGCTATCTGCTTTCAGGATCACCGTACGTTTGTCTACCTACCCTATATCAGAGGTACCTACGTCAGCGTTTCGAGAGCCGCTTCAATGGCCTTGTAACATATACAAAGGGCGACCTATAAAATCCGCAGACACAGTTTGCGGCCGACATTACAGCTCTCGAAAAACCCGGCTGCAGGTTGAGTTAAATGTGGCGACGAATTTTCCGGTGCGGAAATTCGTTCCGTCGTTGCCGATACGACGGCACGACGGTGTGCCGGGGCTTTTGTATCTCGCTCAAGGGCGTTCATCAAGGTTAAGGTCACAATCAAGGTCGTGCCAGTAGCAGCCGTTAATCCCGGTCCTCGTTCCTCCGTGGTGAACACGGCCTACGCCTCTCCATGTCGAAAGCCTCCCAGTATTGATCTCTCCCTTTCACCCACCAAACCTCGACCAATCCCAGCTGGCAGCGGCACGGTAACCAACACGCTCCGCCACGTTTTCCGAAGAAACCAACCTGCCGCCGGTGTCCCTACTACTACCCGAGCATCCGAAAAATTTCCGTGATAACTGATACTAAAGCCGTGATTTAAGCCGCCGTGCGTACTTTCGGACGTACTGTCGTCGACCTTCGTCAAAATCGCGTGACGATCATCGTCGGGGGTCTCACTCTCAATCTACGATCGGTTTAGGCAACTGGCCCGTTCAACTGTTTACTACCTTTTTACTATCGTCCGTTCATCTAATTATTTATTTAGCAGCTCGACGACAAAGTGGAAAAGTAGGATCATTACACACAACTATTATTCTAGAAATGTCAGTTAATTGGATCCTTCAGGGTTAGCTGATACGATAGTAACTGAGGCAGAAGTACGATAACGTAATATTTTTATTTATATGTAAAAATTACGTCAAAATATATTTAATTTTTCTAACAAGTAATAAAAAGATCTTAAATAGTTTATGGATATTTAACATCTTTTTGTTACTTGTTATTTCTGCATAAAAAAATTAAAAATATCCATGAAACTCAAAACATTAATAAATGTTTATATATATATATCATGATTTTTCTGAATTATTACTAAAATAAAATCAGATTTGCGTACGTATTCAAAATCCGATATGTTATCAGAATATTATATTTTACGTTTAAACGCGTGACGAAAAATACGAAATTATCTGATATCACGTAAAACACGACCTTGACACATCTGAGGTAACGAAAGCGGGTCATTCTCACGCATTCCCTTGGAATAACTCCTACACTTACAAATTGGCCCACCAAGATGTTCTAGGTATATCGCGCGATTGTTTCGGAAAGTAGGCCATACTTGGCCTACTGCAATAGTAAGGACACTGCACCTGCGCGTCGCAGCATCGCGTAGGTGCCTGTGCTCACTGTGCTTTGGCAGCAAAATTTTAACCGATCAAATTTTATGAAATTTTTATGAGTCAATTTCCTAACGAAAACATTAACGTTCGTCTTTAAAATTTGCTCCCTCCCTCGTCGACGAGGAAACTTTCGCTATCACTTTTACCTTTTAAACGAATAATAATAAAAGAAAACTCCTTACTTAAATTAAACCGCTATTTATCAATTACAGCGTTGCTGATTACCATTTCTAATCGATAACAAAAACATTTACCTCGCATGATGTTACCCAAGTGTTTTACGCTTACTGCAAAAAAGTTCAAATAGAAATTCCTGAATTTGTACAAGCGCTACAGTTTTAACATCGTCAAAAGCATGATAAACAAAACTGTACAGATCAGAGTTCGCTTTACAAATAAATCTCGTTAACTCTTTGCTGATGTTATTAAAATATTATATAGTTTTCTAATGGATTAATACGCGATCACTCAAAGCTTTTTGCGCGGATACATAGTGTAAATAATATTTAAATGTTTTTTTTTTTATATATATATATATATATAGGAACAGAGAAACAAAAACTGTATTATTTTGACAAATCTTAGTTAAATCTGTATCCGTAGTTTTT